CTCTCTCTCTCTCTCTCTCTCTCTCTCTCTCCCCTCCCTCCTTTTCCCAAGACCTTTGACTCTTAAGCTCTCCCCTCTCCCCCTCCCCTCCATGGCACGTGACTAACCTCGACCCCCACCTGTTACATTGCCAGGGAATGAACGACAAGGAACTTGATCCTCACTTGGTGGAAAACGAGGGTGAGGGGAGGGCTGTCGGTCCCTTGCGCCACCAAGAAGGAAAGGCACCAGACTGTTGTGGGCATCTGAGAAAGCGGAAAGGAGTGCTGTTTTTTGTAACGAGGTCAGTTTGACTCAACCATTTTCCCCGACTGCATGACTAAGGTAAAGGCATGGTTTGCTTGAGGGAAGGGAAAGACAACTAAGGAATCAACAACGGCAAAGGAGACTTAGGCTTGTGGGAAGGGGCGATGTGTTGACCCCAATGGGGATTGTGCTTGGTCCTTCGCTTTGTGTGGTCTTGCGCAGGTGAGTAGCTTGGGATGATCAGACCGGGAAAGGATCCGCAGACGAGGGCAAGGGTGGGAAACTGGATAAGGGGGAGGGCTTAGACCCCGCTCAAACTATGAATGCAGGATGGGTTTGATGGTCGGATGCTTGTATGAGTGGTAGACGCCTGGATGTGGCTTGTGTGATGATTGAGTGCAATGGTTCACTTGAATGCGATGCAAGCCCGGAAGGACTAAGGGCAGTCTTGGATAGGTGAATGCAATGCTAGTGGCGCAAGCAAAAAAAAAATATAGCGGCTAGGGGTCCGGGCGATGCCACCCCACCCCAAGGATGCCGTAAAGGCTGTCTTGAGCCACTAGACATAGTGAAAAGGGGTGTGGCCCAATGGATGACGCTTGGCCTACACACGAAAGAAGACGAGTTTCCAATAAACTCCCTAGACTGCCTGCGTATTGGAAGGAGCAATTGCCTGGTCAGACTTAATTGAATCGAGAAAACGTCACGAGTGACCAAAGAGCTACCATCTATGGCGAGAGCGGAGCTACATCCCCCAACGTAAAGCCCTCTCGCAAATGGCCCATCCCCTTCCATCTCATAGCACTAGGTGGGGGTGCCCCTGGGACGAACGACCCGCGCCCTGAGCGTGAGCGTGGGCGGGTCGAGGCAAATGGGACCCGTAGTGGGGTCGACTAAGGCTCGAAAGTCCTTCAGGGTAAGGCCCCTACAAAAATGGTGGAGGTGCCGGGTATGGGTTAAACTGACCCATACGGTCTCGAGGGGGGCGCTCGACACATGACTGTGAACATAACATTAAGAGAAGGAACGAGGACTTGTGTATGCTCTATCCCTTGAGTGAATCAGATTTGAGGGTGGTTGGGCGCATGGCAAGGCCAGGCCTGGAGGAATAACATGCATGCTTGCACACTTGATCAGCCATCTCCCTTGGAGGAGACTCTAGTCCTCCTTCCTTCGGGCTGATGTTCGTCAGACCGAGGAAACCTTGGGCAAGCCGCAGGTTGACCCTTCCTCTTCGTGTGGAAGAAGGGTTCCGGTTACCTGCCAGGCGATTGGGATTCTGGGCTAGTCCGGGTTCGGAAGAAAACCCCGCGGCGGAGTGATCCGACCGACACGGGTGCTCTCTTTCCTTTTCTTCGGAGCCCAGCGGGCTCCGCACACCGCACTTAAATGTTTGAAGGAACCTCATATGAACACAAAGGGTAATCGAGAAGGAACAATCCCGCCCCATGAACGGACACATGAAGTGAAGATAAGGGGAATGAAGGGAGTTGCTAGACTCCAAGAAAACTAGCTCATCTTTGAAGATGCTCACGAAAAGGAACCAGGCACTATGTATGGAAGTTAGGGGTGAGTGGCACGCAGTGTCCTGAGTGAAAACCTGTGAGCAATGGGTAGGAAGCGATGGGTGCACCAAGAGAAAGGCACTCGTACTATGTGTGTCCCACTTGGGACTTGTGTTTGCATGTTGGGGATATTGAGCGTCCTGCCTTTCGGAAGGAAAGGAGGGGTCTGCACCGGCCACTGCAGGTTGCCAAACGCCATTATCTTTTGCAGGCTGTCGTTTGTTCGTATGCGAGGGTCAGGCCACCGAGCCTGTCTAACGGGAGTTTATCACGCCGGGTGCTTAGTAGCATCCTCGTCCGCGCGGTGACGGGCTTCGGCTCGATTGATCTGTCGGGCGGGGTGTGAAACGTTGCTTTAGGCGGGGTCTAGCCTGTGGACTGGCGGAGGGAGTACCGCTGCATGCGAGCAAAGACGGAGCCTGGGAGACGATTAGTAACTTCTCGTGGTTTGGTTTGGGAAAGGTTGTTCCTTGTTGGACCGATGGAAGTGAATGCCAGGACGATTGGCTCCAATGGCCTACCGAGATGTGTCGGGTGATTCCCGAGATTAACGGTGGGTACACGAACGGCAAGTCGGGATGGGGTATTCTGGGCAAGAAGGTGAGGGCGACCCCCCACTGGAGTCTGGGTACCGCGCTTGCGACGGTTGAGCTGTGCTTGAGGTATGGGATAAAACTCTGTCGATGGTAACAGTGGAGAGACCATTTCCGGGAAGAAGGTCGGTGAGGAGATGACCAACCTGTGTGCGACGTTTGCCTGAATTTTGCTTTTGTGCCTCCCTCTGTAAAGCTGCCTGATGAATGTTGGATGGGGACTGAGCTTCTAAGTCTATTCTCACCTCCAAGTCTAAGTCGGCACGAGTGAGAGAACATGATGATAAAGGCTGGATAGGAGTCGGAAGGAAATGGAACCAAGAAAAAGGAATGTCGGCTGAGGGTGACCGATCGAGGGTATGATGGGGTAACGACATCTGGGACATGGGCAGGAAATGCTGAGGAGACTCAAGGGAGGGGTCTAAAAATAATTCTCATCTAGGTGGGAGGCAATCTGACCATGAAGGGCCGTGTGGTGCTCTCATGTGGAAACAGGATAGGCGCTGGAAAAACAAGATGGCGTGATGGTTGTCGCCCCCCGTCTACACTAGCGGTCCGGAAATGCCTATAGATGTAAGGGAAGGGGTATCTGTCGTCCTCCCGGAGGAAGGAACGTGGACGGACCTAGAGCCAGCTTATGAAACCGTGACGCTGGACGAGAAGGACGCGTTCCTCTGGATAGAGACGATCTGGACTAAGGTTAGCCTGACAAGACTTTTACCCAGCCTGATGGACCTAGAATTCCGGGGAACGGTGGAAGCTCGAGGATGGGTCTACGTATCTCAGGAAATGGAAAATGCAATGGTAGTGGGACTGGTATTAGAACAGTTGTTTAAGCAAGCGGAACGGGAAGTGGTATGGGCGGCATGTCAGCGGGCGGAAATGGAGATGGAAAAGATGGAGGTGCGAGTGGAACTCGGAGACTGGAAAAATATGAGACGCCTCCTTAGGACGATGAGATGCGTGCTACCCCCGTTTCTGGTGGATGCAGTCTTTGGGACCAAGGATAGATTGGAACGGATATGTCGGTCGATGACGAGCCTGAGGCTGTACCAATGTGCTAGACAGGACTTCTTTAGATTGTCGGTGGAAGCAGGGCCGTTTGAAGGAAACTGGGCGGAAGAATTAGCTGAGGTGTTAAACCTCCTCGGCGCGGACGAAATCTTTGCTCCCAGTCCGGTGCATTGGCAGATAGTCTACCGGAATGTGGCGGCAGGGGAAACCTTCCTGGAGGGAGTGAAGGACCTGTTCTCAGACGAAGAAGGGGATTTCAGTGATGATGAGGAAGGAGATGAGATAAGAGGACTGGGACTTCTGAAAAGGGGGAAGGGGCTTACCCGGGAATGGGTTGTCAACTATGTGCAGGTAGGAAGCAATGGCCCGGGAGCGCGAGTTGTGGGACTGCACACCCAAGGGATGGGAACCAAGACGGGCTGGAAGAGGTGTAGAAATGTCTATACCAGCGGATCATGAGTGGAGAGGAACCACGTGTGACTGGGTAGGGTCTGAACTTGTGCCCGACCTATCGTACCTATGGATAGAGCGTGTTTGGAACCCGCGAAGGGAAGAGGACGAATGGGAGGAGATTGCGGAAGGAAGGGTGGAATCGGTCGGGACGATCGTCTTGTCTGAACAAGGCTGGCACATGTTTTGCACGACGCTCGCAGCAAGGCAGAACCCGATGTGGCTTCAAGGGGATGCTGAGGCAAGGGCTCGACGGGCGGGTGAGAGGTTTGCGAACAAAGGCTGGGATGTGGTCAGTAGCAGAGTCGTGATGGGAGGATGGAAGGAATTTAGGCCCCCCTGCCAACGAATTAAGACTTGGGTACCCGAGTTCGTAGCAGATTGGTTTGGGTTTTTTGACCATGTCGAGGAAGTAGCCAGCACTATGGGGCGGATGCACGTGAATTGCGCTTGGCTAACAGAAGAGTTCTATAAAACATCTTTGAAATATGGGCCGTTCCGTGGCGATAGAGCCTGGGAGGTCCTCATCATTTTGGATATCGAAAGGAATGACCGGATGGAAGTGGCCCCGGAAACCAGGGAGGCTATAATCCGCCGCGAGGTAGCCGCCACACCCTGCTATGTAGATGATGTGTTTAAGTTGTTCGAGGTACTGTGGTTTGACTGAGAGCGGGAAAGAGTGCGGGGGCCAGACAAGCATGGAAAAATTACTAAAATGAGGGAATGGGATGTCCGGCTATTGTAGGATTCGGCGAGGATAGTGGGGTAGAAAACCAAAGGCGAGCACGCGATGGCACGAAGGAGGACATTTCTTGAAGATCGCCCCCTAGGCATTGAGCCACCGAGGGAAGTAGAGGGTGGGATGGAAGTTAGTCTGCCAGCCGTGAGCGAAGGATGGCACCCGGTGGTGGATTGGGTCGGGGTTGAGCTTATGGAAAATATGGTTTACCTGGTAACAAGGGTCTAGTGGCGTACGGATGAGCATGGGGAGTGGAACCTGGACCCGCGGGGGCATGTGCGTGCAGACGGGCGATTGTATGTGTCCGAGGATGGGTGGCGCGAGTTCGGAGTCCTGTTGGCATCAGGGGAAGATCCATTGAGTATGTTCGAAGGGGCATGGCAGTTAGTATGGGAGGCGGGATTTGAGTTCGCAGATCCGAGATTTGATGATGTAACAGCGGACCTCGGGGTAGCTAGGGCCGGAAGTTTTGAATTGCCTAGCGAAAACATTCGGATGAGGCGGCCGCCCTTTCTGCTAGAAAGGTTGGGCGGACTGGAGTTTGTCAGACGGGCGGTTGCCGATCTCGTTAGTTTGACATACGAAGATACGATGGTATACCGAGAATACTATCGGGCCTTCCTAGAAATGGGGCTGTTTAGCGGAGAACAGAAGCATGAGGTGCTGCAATCTTGCACGCCGTGTTTACCACCAGACCAAGGGCTCTGGTTGTAGGCAGTGAGGTTCTATGGGTCGTCGTCGAACGGGAAATAAGTCGGGGGATGACGTATGTAGACGACCTACATCGATTGCATGAGCCGATGGAGGAAGAAACAGGCCGATAGAAGCGTTGAGGAAGGGGAAGGGGATAGAGAGGAAAGGAAGCGTCAAGCTAAGGACTAGGGAGTCGCTCAGGTGAGGATCGAAGAATAAATGAAATAAGCAAACTCACTTGCTGTTTAAACTGTGGAGGGGACCGCTAAATCGAAATGGTGATGAGACGCGCCTGGATGTCGCGACGGCCCACGCACCCCCGACCCCCCACGGAAAGCGGAGACGGATGGGAGGTATCACTCCCCACAAGCTACAGGGTCCGAGGGATCGATACCGAATGGAGAGCCGTAACCTTGGGAAGGGACCAGGCGTTCATAATGGTGGAATGTTTGTGGGATGGTATGAGAATTAACAGGGGACAAGGGGATGATCTGTATACTGACCTCAGGGTGACTGGGACCGTATACCTACCAGAACTTGGATGACACATGTTAGGAACGGAACTGGCACTAGGGCATGGGTTGTTACCAATCTTCCAAAGGGCTACTAGGGTACTGAACCGAGTAGGCCAGGAAGTGCGAGGGAGAAGGAATGTGGGACTGAGAACCCGGGTGGAGGTAGGAGGTTGGCGAGAATTTAAAAGGGCTGAGGTACCGAGTCCCCCGCTTCATGGTGGACCTGGTATTTGGCAGCCTCAAGAGGGCCAGGGACCTCGTGGATTCGACCCTGGTCTGGGTCCACCACTTCCGGCCACAGACAACAGGGATGTTTTACGATGTGTCGGTCAGGCATGGGCCGTTTTGGGGAAATCAGGCCTGGGAATTACTTGACCTCTTTGAAATTTTGATATTCGGGTTACCTCGCTTGGCGTTTGAGGAATACGAACCAATAATCATTAGGGAAATAGAGATGGGAGAAAACTACCTTGTCGGGGTGGCTGACCTGTTCGAGGAACCGGACGAATAAGGCAGGTCTAAGGGACTAGCGTGAGAAGAGGCGCCGGGGGGAATACGGAAAAATTAAGGGATGGGTATTAAGATGAGAAGGTAGCCATCAGCAAGAGGGGGGGCACTGGTTGGAGTTCCGCCCCACCTAATGATGCGGTAGGAAGGAACTAGGAAGACCACCCGCACCAGGAATGTCGGGGCATTTGGGTGTCAGAAAGTCGAAAGGGCTATCCTCAAGGGGAAAGCCACTGGGCTCAGACACCGCCCTGAGAGCCGAGGCAGGGCAACGACAAAAACCCAGACCTCGGCAGCAAGTCCCCCGGCGAAAGGAGATCTAAGTGGTGTCCTGTGGAAGAAAAGTCAGGAGTGTCGTCCTGACTTATGAAAAACGAAAAAGGGCACGAAAACAACTGGGTTCTAGGGCTGGAACTAGGGGAGCCATGAACAACCGGCCATTTTTCACAAAAAAAATTTTTTTTCCATGTGCAGGCTAGGTAAAGAAATGGCGTCATAAGAACAGGACGACAACCGGCAGAACAGAGGGAGTCAGGGTACGAATAGGGACGAGGAACAGAACGAGGGGTCGGATTAGGAATTAGCGAAGCCAGAAGAGGCCAGAGAAGAAGGGAAGGGCCTCTCCACAGGGGAAAGTTCAGGAAGAGTTGGGGGTAGCAAAAGGGGACCGCAGGAGAATAGGGAAGGGAGGGACGACGAAAAGGAAAGTCCTCGAAACTCTGGAGGAACCACGCCCAAGAAAACGAAAGTCTCGGATGCACGTCGCAAATTGGCAGAAATAGAAAGGCGGACTGCAGAGTACAAGGCAAGACTTATTGAACAAATGATGGTCGGGAATGAAGAAGATCCCCAGGGGGAAGGGTCACGAGAGGGACGCAAGACCAGTTAGGGCGAAGCCAGGTACGGAGCAAAAGATAACAGCCATAAGGGAACGCCCAGTAAAAAGGGGAAGGAAAAGGGGGAGTCCCCGGCTATAGAGGCAGAAAAGGCCACAAACCCACCGGCTATCGATTGCGGTGCTAGTCGTCTGCCCGCCACGTCCAAAGCAACGAAGGCATGCGATGGACTGGAGTCTTAGAGAGAGGGTGTTAGGCTGGTTTGATCCGGAGGAAACACCGAAAACTGGGGAAAAGCACAAGGAAGGCAGGGAAGGAGAGGGGAGTAGTGCGGTCGGTGAGGCAGGTAGCTCTGAAGGGGGACTTAAAAGGATAGTAGTCACCCTCACCCGGGCACTGAATAAGAATCAGGGGTATATCGCAGACGCAAAGAAGAAACTCACTTTCGATGGGGCAAACATCACGGAATTCCTGATAGATTACGAGAACCTGGCAGCCTTACTGAAATGGACTGAGGAAGAGAAGATGGACCACCTAGAGCAGCACGTGTCGTTGAGCTTAGGAAGGGACATTATGGCTATCGTCTCCTCTAGTGGATCCTGGAAGGAAACCCGGAATGGGATGATGAGAAAGTACCTGAAGGCGGAGAAAATGGCGACAGACGCTGAATTGGCGGCAGTCCAAAGGAAAAACTATGCTACTTACAATGACTTTCTGAGGGCGTTCACTCTAGTGGCACTGCGAATCCCTGGGGTAACGGATCGAATAATGAGCAAGTACTTCCTTAGGCACTTCTCCAAGTTTAACAAAGATAAGATTATGTCAGCTTACCAGCAGACTAGTAAGTTCGAGTACACTAGGGATGTGGACTTCAGCACGGTAACAAACCTCGCAGAAAAGACAATGGTGACCGACACATTAGCCCTGCTTAAGGAAGGGGAGGTTATAGACTTGACTGGGAAGACAGGGGATAAGGTCAAGAAGGGAATAAAGAGCCTACATGAAAGGGTGCATGGGGTCGACAACAAGATGGACAGAATGGAAAATGCGCTATTAGTAATGCAGGCACAGGCGTCCCGACCCACCCTCCCGCCCCAAGAGGCCGTAGTTCCGGCAGTCGTAGCTAATCGAGGATTTGGCAGGAGGGATCCGGCCAACGAACGATGCAAATACTGCACAATGATCGGACATTTCGTACGGACCTGTCCAAAACTCAACCACAATATCATGAGAGAGAGGTGCAGTAGGTCCCTCAGAGGAGAAATTTTCGGACCTCAGAGACAACGCATAAACTGGAATTCGCCTGGAGGGATGCGACGTGCCGTTATCCTCCTGAATAACCTGGATATAGCTACCGTAGAAGCAGAGCCGGTAACCGATATTGTTTGGAAGTAGCCGAGGGGGCGAGAGCGAGACTAGCGCGGATAGCCGGACTCGTGTAGCAGACATAGTATATACGACAGTATATAAGGGATTCACTAAATATAGAAAGGGGGCGCCTCGCGTGTGCGTTTTTGTTAGAACCACCAGGATGACGTCTCGGCGAAATTCGAGGGGCCGGAAGGGTTTCGTAACTTTTAGGGGCCAAGGCGTGACGAAAAATCCCTAGGAAGTCGAGAGAAGGTATCAACCAGCGGGCAACCGGAATCGAGCAAAGCGTGGGTGTCCGAAATGGGGGAATAAGCGGTTCTGCGTGTCTGGGCTCCTTGTAACACTGGTAAGAGAGACCATCGAAATAGTAAGACAGGTAGAGGGGAATAAAACATATAGGGTAGAGAGAACCCTAAAGTGCACAAGGAAGCGAGAGGACAAGGATTAAGCTGATTTGAAGACGAGAACATTTCCGGAACTGATAGCGATAGGAAAACTGTGAGAGGTAGAGTCTAAAGCAAGTTCTCCTTCCTTCGATTGTATGGCATGCAGGTCTGATACGTTATAGACGTCGCAAGCAACTGAAGGGGCCGGAAAAATAAACGCGACCGGATAGGCAACATGGATGGTCGGAATCCGGAAGAACAAGACGGTAGCATGAATGCCAACCGACGGTTCAACAGCGAGGGGGTCAAAGGCAACGCGAGGGGGATTTTGGAAAAAGGGAGTCATACCGGGAGGAGGCCTGCAGAATCTCGGGGAATGAGGCCAATCGTAGTCGGAAATACGGAAGAGTCACAGACCTCGGTGGGTGGAGTGACAAAGAGAAGGAAGGTAGCAGATACCCTACGAAGACTGAAGGAAGTGGAGCAGATGATAGCAACTTACAAAGCTGGTGTAATTGAAGAGATGATAAAGGACATTGAGGGTGAGGATGACGATAAGCTACACAATGATGAGTGGCAAGGTGAGATGCAACGAGAGCGCATCATTGGGAAGCCCGGTGAATGGGGGACGGGCGGAAACGCGGGGGAAAAAGGGGGGGTGCGACCTTCCAAGGTAGGGACCGCAAAGGAAATAAGGGAAGTCAGGAACAGACCATCGAACGAACCAGCAGACAGGGGGACAATCCTTGTCAAATGAAGACTATAGTGAGTTGTGGAATCTAAGGGAGAGACTCACAGGATGGCTCGACCAAGAAAGGGAAGACGGAACAGAGAGTTGCCAGCGAAATAATGAAGGGTTTGAGGTCCTAGAAACAACCTGATACGGAGTGAAAAAGGGGTCGGGGGAGTTGCACGATCAAGGCGAAGGGGCGGACAACCAGAGGAAAAGGATAGGGGATACCCTCCGGGTGGTGCAAACCCGCGTATCTCGAACTCCGTTGGTACCCCAAGAAGCTCTAGCTCCAAGACCCGAGCGTCGAACCGGTCGGAGAGATCCTTCGAAGGAATCATGTCGATATTGCACCTTGATGGGACACTTTGTTAGGCTTTGCCCGAAGCTTAACCACAATATCATCGGAGGGCGGTGTTCTAGGACCCTCAACGGACAGATCCTGGGTCCTAACGGAGAAAGGGTTGACTGGAATTCACATGGGGGGATGAGGCACGTTATAGCGACATTAAACAACCTAGACCTTTCGGTAATGGTAAAAGAGGAAGTGGGCGAGCTTTGTTGGGGGCCGACATGTAACCACGAGAAGAAGCGGGGTCGTGGGTAGGACGGGACTGCCGCTTGAGAAAGGAAGGACGGACACGACTAGACCTCAACAGCGAGAGGGCACCAAGATGAGCAATGCGACGTGAGGACCGAAGGTTGTGAGGAAAAGGGTGGTCGAGGACAAAAAAAAAAAAAAAAAAAAAAAAAAAAAAAAAAAAAAAAAAAAAAAAAAACCCATCGATACCTATTGGGAGAGAGAGGCAGAGGAAGTAGCCAAGTTGGAAGGCGGAAGGAGGACCTTAGGTTGATAATCGTAGAGGAACGTTACAAAGTGGCGTAAGGATTTTTGGACAATTATGCAGCCAGTGGTTTTATCAATGGGTTAATGTGAAGTCTGGGCCGTCAGGGTCGGAAGAGAGATGAGGAGGGGCGAGTCGGTCACAGTGCCAACTTTCCACGATGAAAGGACATTTGAGGTGTCCGCAGGAAGGAAAGGATAAATATTCTTATTTATAAGTTAGGCTGGATACGCCCTCGCAATTAAAGGAACTTGAAAAGGCTATGGGACAAGGGACCAGGAAGGGAAAATTGAGTCGCGGCAGGAGAAATTGTGTATGCAAGTTGTATGTGGGATAGAAGACGGTGAACTGGTCATCTCGGTCGTCTTTTGAGCTGTGGTCTGGATTATTCAAAAATTGACAAGGGCAAGACATGTCGATGTTGATCTCTAGACGCTACCTCTCGCGCAAGCTATTCTAAAATATTCGGTACTTGCTGAGACATTGGGATAAGGACTGGTGGCAACAGAAGAGAATAGGCATGGTGTGAGTTTGGCAAACGCTTGTTAGGAACATTAATGGTAGGACTTGACTAGTGGGAATCAGGTTGCTAAAAGTAAATGAGGCAGGGATTAGTCGAGACTTAACGCGGATGAGCAAGTTTTCGAGTCGCTTCTTGCTAACAAGCCACCTCGAAAGGTTTCTGCAAGATAAGGGTTGATAAAAAAATATTGGTATAGGATTAGACGGGGCGGTTGTATTATGGATCATGCGAAAAACAAAGATTGTATTTCGGGAAAGAGGCTATGAACTTGGCTTGTTGAGCAAAGTCAGACAGTGAATGTAAGTATAAGAGAGGTTAGGGGACCTATGGGTAAAGAGGCGCAAAGAACCCTCTTCCCTAGGAGCCTAATCCAACCGGTCAAAAACAACTTCACAAGCAATGAGGGGCATGAGAGGTCGGAAAGAGAAAATAAACATTGATTGAGCAAGCACCCTCCGCAATGGTTGAACGACCGGGTGACCTAGTGCTGCTTGGGGTTGCGATGCTCAATTTGAGCACTAGACGCTAAGTCCGGTGTATGTATGGACATGAGAATGATGATTGACACAAGACAAAAGGCAAAGCATGCGTAAAACCCAAGAAATGGTCGCCTTCTAACCTCCGAGACAGAAATAGGATCCGTGTCCTCGAGGCCCACCCCCTCGGGCGCTAACATTGGAATGGATAAGGATGGCCCTAACCAGGCTGTCCAATGGAAATAGATAAGGATTGCCATAACCAGGCTTTCCGATTAACATGGATAAGAATGACCCTAAACAGGGTGTTCGACTTGGAATTGGAAAGTGCGACCCTAACCAGGTTGTTCGGAATGGCCTCTGACAAGGGTCATTCTTTGGAATTGGCACTGGGGTCCCCTTGCATGGTTGCTTGAGAAGCATGAGATTGGGAAAAGTTGAGCCTCGGAAAAAGATATTGGACTCAGCCTTGGAAAAGATATTGACTCAGCCTTGGAGAGGATATTGGACTCACCTTGGAAGAGACATTGCATTGAGCATTGGACCGAGATTGAGCATTGGACTGAGATTGAGCATGGGAATGAGACTGAGTATTGGAATTGGATTGAGTATTGAAAATTGCACTGCATAAACAGGGGACCCTAGGCAACTTGAAATGGACTTGGAAAGAGCATTGAAATGTCGCATGCACCGCGACCCCAAGACCTCTATCCTTTTGAGGGAAAAAGTCTCAGTGCGACATGTTCCCTTTCAAGGGGATGAAGGTCAAAGGACTAAGGCACCTACCGCTTGGATCGGTGCGGGACGTCCGGAACTGACCCCGACAATGAGCTCTAGTCGGGGAGTTCAAACTGCGCCTCTTGTTGAATGCCTAAACGTCAAAGGGCGAAAGAGCCAAATGGGCGAGAGAGCCAAATGGGCGAGAGAGCCAAATGGGCGAGAGAGTCATTCTCATCTAGTCCATTTTGCCATTCTCCAACCACACGCCATGTCATAGAGGGGTGCCATGGCTGTTTGCGTCGGACCACGGCTGCCCGCGCTAAGTTGGGTGACACTGTCCAAGGGGAGAGGCCGGGCGAAGGTACTAGGTGGAGTCTGTCACCACCACGGGGCATTGACACTGCCCTGCCGGAACATTACAACCGTTTCGGGACTAATTATAAGGTCTTCGTAACTCCACTCGTGGACTAATTGAGAGCCCCAACTCTCTTGAAAGGAAGAGGCCGGAATCCAAAAAATTACCACTCGGGAGGAACGATTCGCGAGGAACACTCTTACGGCTAGACGAGGCCCTGGAAGGCTTGGATTGGACCTGCCTGCCAGACATGTGGAGGAACCTCAGTATTGGTGCTTGCCACATAAGAGAAGAAAGGTCGGACTAAGTGGAAGGATGAGGCGCCACCCGCTGGGGAGGAAATGATCACCCCTCCTTTGTGAAGCGAGTGGGCTTACGTCCTTGACTCAGTCGGCGGGCCAAAGGTCTCGTACCTCCGAGTGAGGACCAGTCGCGCGATGGGGACATCGCGTTTTGAGTGGGGGGAAGGTGTGTCATCTACCAAGAAATAGGCATGGAAAAAAAAGACTTGTAATTGGGTTGCATGGGCTTGAGAAAAAGGGGTTGGCAAGACGCCCAGAAAAGAAAAAGACTTGTAATTGGTTTTGCATAGGCCAAAGAAAAGGGGGCTTGCCCAGGACAGAAAGGACTTGAGCAAGTGACATGGTATGAACTTGAGAAAAATGGCCTGGCAAGACAACCAGGAAGGAAAGGGCTGGTATGATTAACTCTGCACGGACTTGAAAAAAAGGATTGGCAGGCTGAGGAATGACTGTGTGACTGACTTGCATGGGATTGAGAAAAAGGTCCGACAAGATGTTTGGAAAAGAAATGCACAAGGGATGAACCGAGCATTGCACGTGGAAAGTTAATTAAGTAAAGGGCAAGAAAGGGCAGAGGATGATATGCATGCAGAATTGGCAAGACCTGAGAAAGGCGGGGTAAAATGACCCGGAGGAAATGTATGTGGATTCGGAAAAGCCCGAGCTTCGGGGAAGGGAAAAGGGAAAGCATGAATTGCATGGGCCGAAAAACATGTTATTTTGGGATGTGTTAAGAGCAATGAAAGAGACAAAGTCAAAATGGTGTCTGCTTGCGAATGTTTCCTCAAGGAAGTGGGAAGATAAATTTGAGATTACGAAACACTTAGGGGGAGTTGTGCCTGTGTTCATCGATTCGAAGTGGGTATCACCACAAGCAAAGGCGGCGGTTGTATTGGACGAAAATCCCCCGTCCGGAGCAAATGCTTGACATTGAGTCACATCCGAAAACTTGCCTCCAATTTGTTTTCAACAATGCCAAGGCATATAATGAGAAAACCAATTGTGTTATGGCAACAAATTGTCGCCCTGGGAATAAAGTCAGCATGCCAACAGTTAAGTGCATGAAGCGAGGAGAGCCTCGTCTGCTTCATGTTACTGAAGTCGAAAGAATTATGGGTTACCCTGCTGGGTATACAGAGTTGACTGAAGTGGAAGTTCGTGTCTCGATTGAGGGGAAGATAGAGAGGCAGAGCTATGATGGAAATGAGCAACCTGGTCTAAGAGAAGCCCGAAGAAGAATCTTTGACTTCCCCATACCCCCCCCCATCCCAAGGGGCGGAAGCCAAAAGAAAACCTTGAGAGAGGAATGAGAAAATACAAAAAGAACCCTGACAAGCTAACTGCCCGTCTCACCCCACCTCCCTTTCCCTCCTGTCTATAACTCCAAAGTCCCGACTGACTATGGACTGGTGCGCAATGAGGACATCGCGAATGAGTGGGGGGACTGTGTCGGGACTGGTGAGCCCCAAATGACTTCCCGTCACTCAAGAGGCTGTATACGACCAATTTGTGCATGACAGAGAAAACCGGAGGCAAGGACGTTGGAAGAACCGAAGGCGGGAGCGCAGGCACTAGCGAGCTAGAGGCTGGCCAAAATCACAGAGACCCTTGAACTAAGAAAGGATTGACTGAACAAGGAACGACAAAGGGTCGCAAGAAATAGCGA